CCCACGCTGTAGATACCTTTGCGATCATGACGTCTTACCCGTTCCTCTCGATTTTTCTCCCTACGGGAGCAGAGTCCAAAAAAAAAAAAAAAAAAGGCCTTGTAAATAGTTGCATGACAACAAGCAATACTTGTTGCAATTAAAGTATTTTTCAATGTGCCCATGCGCACACATTGTATAATGTTTTCATTTCACAATAAATGCAGTTGGCATGCTATAAAAAAATTTGTATTTAATGACGTTCAGAGTTTGTATTTAGATTTCAAAAATTTCAAATCTATTAACTGTTTGGTGAAATACAAACACTACTTAATGTGACTTTTAACTTTTGATTTGAATAATAGAATTAATGTAAATAAATAAATAAATGGATGAAAACATCGGTTAGAAGGATCATTTTCTACATATTTATTTATATATTTCTGGTATATGGAACGTAAATACATGACAACCAAACCAACCACCCGAAATAGTTTTTTACTTTTTTATTAATTGGCACAGCACGGAGAATTTAATGCTTCAATTTGGCCTTCTAGATTGAAGGATCTTTTATTTTTCAATTAAAGAGAAATCAGAACTGCAATCATGTATATATTATCAGTATATAGCTTATAGAAACGTACTTTCGTTTTGAAATGAATTCATATACTAGGGCATCAAGAGAAACAATAGAGTATTCGGAATAATACCATGTCCACAGTCCGATCTCACAACATTCTCTTATAACCTCAAGGTGACAGTTATCACGTCAGTTCTCATCATACTAAAGACATTAAATAATTTTAACTAGGCAAGAACAATTGTTCTTTCATAAGGAATAGTTATTCTTTTTAAGGAATGGTCGTTCCATTCATCAATAATTATTGTTCCTTATTTATAGAATAATCATTCCTTATGAATGAACAATCATTCGTCTTTAAGAAACGACCGTTCATGTTTGGTCAAAGTCATCAGTTGACGTGATAATATCAACTTTGCTGTCACGTTACAGCTATAAGAGAAGGTTGTAAGATTGGATTGTAAACGTAGTATTTTTGTTATTAAAAAAATTTAGTACTTAGAAAAGCACATGCAAAAAAATATGTTAATAATACATGAAATGTACCAGAAGATCCATTTTGTTGACTTAATTGGTGCATCAATGGAAGGCCTTACAGCCACAAAGATTTAATGTCTGCAATAGGGATAGAACACCGGCAATTAGGGCTATCAGACGAGCCGAGCTACTCGCGAGTCGGCTCGGCTCGTCTGAAGCTCGTTTATGACTCGACTCATGATTAGCCGAATCAACTTGGCTTGAGCTCGCTGTATAAAACGAGCCGAGTTCGAACATGGGGAAGCTCGGCTCTTAGGCTCGTGAGGCTGATGTGGCTCAGCTAAACAGGGTTCTATTTGTTATATTTTATAAACTGTGGGGACTGAAGTGTTATCTTCATTCTTTAGTTTTAAAAATTTGTAAAAACGACATTTAACCCCCCGATGTAATTAACCCTAAAACACAAAATTAAACCCAAAATCAGATTTCCCAAATCGACAAACCCTAACCCCTAAATTTGTTCTTGCAAATTTTAATAATCAAAAATCAAAATCAAAATCAAAATAAGGTTGTGTTGAGGAAGAACATGAAGACGAAGACGAAGATGAAGAAGAAGAAGACGAAGATGAAGATGAAGAAGATGGAGATGGAAGCAGCGTAAATCGTGATGTTCTGCAAGATGAAGAAGAGATAGAGACGAAAATGAAGATGAAGATGATGGAGATAAAGATGCAGATGATGAAGACTTGAGTGGTAGTGTGTGTATTGAGAGCGATGGATCTTCCATGTCTAGAAAAAGCTGCAAAGGAAAAAAAAAATTCTCCTTTCCTCTCCTTTCCTTGTATGTTTAAAATGGCAGATGTTAAAATGGAAAAAGTTTCAATGATATTCATCGTGTAGAGTGCTGGAAGGAAAAAGTGTGGTAATCCTAGTCGAGTCAGTCAAGTCGGCTCGAGTTTGAGTTCGAGTTCGAGTCCCTTTTATCTGACTCGACAGGTTCAAGCTTGAACTCGAGCTCGATCCTGTAGCAAACGAGCCGAGCTCAATAAGTCAAAAACTTGACTCGGCTCAGCTCGTTTACAACGCTACCGGCAATTAATAAGAGAAACTAACTGAAAATGGGCGCATTTATTTGGGCTGTAAACTAAATGCTTATAGGACAAACCAATGGAAACCGACTACTATATTCATGAGATCGGCAAATGGATTGCTTACTTTTTCCGGCAAATTTGAAGCGTGTAGAAAGAGAGATTGTGACAGAATAACATTTTTTTTTTCAAGTAATCAACTAATATGTGCTCCTTTTACAAACCCATATCATTGAATCTATGATATGAATAGTTGCTGGGTAATTTTGGTCATATTTTAACAGGGCAATTTTTTTTTTTTTTTTGGTAACGAGGCGTCCAAGCTAGTTTATGCGCACCTCAACTAATTACTGGGGTCCATTGAACAATCTACAAGCTCAAAGACCAGATAAACCACAATATTATTGTGGTAGGTGACTCCAAGGTTTGAATCCAAGAACTCATGGAAGGGAGCAAACCTCCTTGACTACTAGGCTAACCCCTTGGGGTTCTAACTGGGCAAATATTCCCAAGCGGTAAGACCTCAAACAAATCACTGAACCTTAAAATAGGGATACATGTGCAAGTATAATACCACCAAAAATTCACTAACAAATATCAATTTAGAGATTTGTTAATAGCTGCCCTTATAGATATACAATAGGAAAATAATACAGCCACCGACGGTAGTGCACCGAATTCGTGCACCGAATGACGTGACAAAATCTTGACCGTTGATTAATTTTAACTTAATATTAATCAACGGTCAGGGTTTTACCACGTTATTTGGTGCACAAATTCGGTGCACTACCATCGATGACTGTAGCATTACTCTATACAATAAGAGTATCCACATAAATTTTTTAATATATTATAAAATTTGTGAGGGAAGTATATATGGTCCAGTGTTGTTGAAAAGAATTTGAAGGCGTTTAATTTTTATGGTAACCAAAATCTAGAGGGGTAAGTTATTGATGAATGTGTAACCTCCATGATATGACCTAATACTAATAGCATGTGGAGAGCATGAGAATAAATAAAAAATTTCGGTATTAATGGCCAAACAACTATTGAACTACATTATTTTCTTTTGGTCAATGGGGGTATCCGAGTCAACTTGTTTACACCTTAACTAATTTTCTAAGACTTTAAAATTATCAACTGGGTAAGAGTCGCAGTATCCATCCCTATTAGTGCCTGGAGGGACTTACACTCAGGAGCTCATAAAATCTCCTTTTACTTTTTTATCATCAGACCATCCAATAATGGTTTACTAAACTGCATTTTCCAGCTATGGACAGAGTACCTTGTCCTTAATATTTACATTATTAACTGTTATCACACAAAAAAAGAAGAAACTGATCGAGCAATATACACCATCCAAATCAAGCTTAAATTTCGCATTAATCTTACTTCATGAATCCTGAATTTCGGTAAATTTACACGTACTGGTTAGATAACAAGTAAATTGACAAGCTAATTTCTAGCCTCATCTTCAATCAACTGGACTCTGATATAGCTATGGGGTGAAGCAAATTGAAGTTATCAAAGTCAGATGCTGTGGCCATCAAGAGTTTGGATAAATCAAGCGTGTGTCCACCAGTCAGATGCTCCAATGCATTGAATCCAGATCACCTTATTTGTATAATACTCCATATATCTTCCTTGTATTTTAAGCAAGTAATCATCCCCTTTAGTCACGGTGAATTTCATTGTTTATGAAGAAGCGTGTGACATTAATTCGTATTATAACCTCCATATTAATCTATGAATTCTACAATCAAGGTTGGCAATTCTTGCATCCCAAGAAATGACCTGCATAGAGATGGAGGAATTCGACATTTGTTCACACTGCAAAGAATTAATCTGAAACATGCTGTGAGAATAACAGGTTCAACTGTTCCTCTGCTATACATTTTTGACAGAGATTACCCGAATAAAGGAAATATTCTTTTATGATTTTCTGTGTTCAACAATTTGTTACAAAATGCTGATCATTCAGATGCGTTAAGCGCATAAACATAGTAACTTTCTGCAAACTAATCTAAAGTATTAGGAACAAGATCCGCTTATTTAAATCACAGTTCAAAATGCAGCTGAATAATATTTTCATATATTATTATAAACCCAGGAAGAGTTTTGTTAAATGGGAAAAGCTGAGAGAGGAAAGGAATGTCTGGAAAGGGCATTACCTTTGAGCTTTTAATGCAGGAATCTACATAGGAATTAACAAGGATTACAAAAAGTGAATTGTACATTAAAATTAACATTTTAAAACCTCTTAGCTTGACTCTACTATTCTTACCCTGCATTTTTTATTTGTACACCAACTTCATCCTTGAAACTGCAGTAACTTGAATGATATGTCAAAGGAATTTTTATAATATTGGCTCTTATGAACTTTGTTATTTGTGCTTCTCACCTCTAGTTTCTGAATTCTTTCAACTTGCCCTTAGACTTCCATCCTTTATCTTCAAGAACTAATAAAATATGATAAAAGAATGCGAACAGATCATAATACAAATTGTATTTATTTATTGAGGGAAGAAAATGGAAGAAGGGTAAGTAAGCAAAAAGAAAATTATTCTCTGACTAATCATAATCTAGCCAGCTGTTACTCAACTTAATTCTATGATTACGTGCGTAATTGATCATGAATTACAGGAAGGGTTTCCATAATTTATATACAAAACATAGCATCTATATTCAATAAAGCCGCACAAATGATTAGAACAACCACACAAGTCAACCAAAGAGCATTAAAATATACAAAAACCCAACTCTTTCATAATGTTTGAAACCAAATATACTCCATGAAATTAGCTGGTGTGTGAATTTAATCACAAGTTTCCAACTTATTTCCAATCGGATAAAGCATTAGCTGAGTTGTTTAAATAACGCGTCCAAATAACTTTATAATTCTCCGATTTCAAAACTTTCTCTATTCCAAAAAATTCTCTAAAACCTTGGAATACTGATGTGTAATGGTAACATGGCTATACAAAATAATCATCGTGCGGGATCCGAAGCAATACTAGAGAACGTATGGGCAAGCTTCATTGGCACTGAAGATGGGGTTGAAAAACGAACAAGTGATGCAGCAGAATTGTCAAAATCATGGGAAGAATTGCCTTATCTTGATGGAAGAGATGGATCAATGGATATTTTACAGAGGCTGCCAAGTCTAGGGAGGTGGTTATCAATGGGAGCTGAAGCTTGGGAGGAACTACTTGATGGAATTATGCCTACAACCAATATAGAAAAATCTTGCAATGATAATTCAAAGAGCAATAAAACAACTAGTTCTTCAGGGCCTAAAACGAATGCCGAGAGAGCAGAAAAGGTGGCTACGCAACACTACCGGGGAGTGCGAAGGCGGCCGTGGGGTAAGTACGCGGCAGAGATAAGAGATTCGACAAGAAAAGGAGCTCGAGTTTGGCTTGGAACTTTTTACACAGCTGAGGAAGCGGCATTGGCTTATGATAAAGCTGCTTTACGAATTAGAGGCCCAAAGGCACACCTGAACTTCCCAGTTGAGACAGTTGCTAAGGCTATGGGCATTGAATGTTCAAGAAATGAAGTCAGTGATACTCCGATGCTTTCTGAAGAGAATGTTTCGATCCCTCGAAAGCGAGCATCGAGAGAGTGGGAGCAAAACAATGGGATGATGATATTGAATCATGAACAACCTGAAATGAAGAGAATGAGTTGTATGAAAGATAGTTGTGGTGATGAATTTGATGTGCTGGAGTTTCAGGACCTGGGTGTTGAATATTTGGATAATTTGCTATCTTCTTTTTGACAAAATTAAGAACAAGGTAGCCAAAGTTTTACTTTGGAGGTGTTTCTATACGTTATTATAGACCTATTACATGATTGAACTATATGTAATTATGTGGATTGATCGTCTAGTGAGTCCGGGTTTTGTTACTCGTAGAAAGGCATTAGAGGATTATGTAGTAGAACTATATCAATAGTTCCATTCGTTTATCTGTAAATGATGAAGAATTACACATGTTTTGTTTTCTATGTTCTTTTTATTTGCGTATTTCCTTAGTGCTCATTGATGATATAACAATGGAAGAGAATGTATGATATTCCTTTTGGATTATTTTAAGACGGTGTCAAATCTTATTCTCAGACGACAAGTAGCAATACAAGTAGTGATGGCAATGGCCATGCCGAGACCGGGTACCCCTTGGCCCAGGCCCAAGCCCAACCTCATGACAAAGGCCTAAGCCCGGCCTAGGCCCGTCACGGGTATAACAGGTAAAACCCAAGCTCGGTCCGATAGGCTTTTTGTATCCTTAAGCCCGACCCAAGTCCGGCCTGGGCCCGTCACGGGTATGACAGGTAAAGCCCAAGCCCAGTCTGACGAGCTTTTTGTAACCTCAGGCTTGGCCCAAGCCCGCTCATTTTTATAATGTGAATTTTTAAATATTAATAAATTTTAATTTTTTTTTATATTTTTAGTTCTAGAAATAATTTTTAAATATTAATTTATTTTTGAATACTCACCAAATATATAAATAACTTCCACAAAGTACATCCATCCATTCATGTAGGGTTTGAAAAAAATGAGTAAATATGTCGGATAATCTTGTAATTAAATATATAGTATAAGGGTAATTTAGTATAATTAATACTAAAATTGTTGGGTCGGGCCTGAAAACATACCTAGGCTTAGCCTATACCCGAGGTCGGGTCTTAAAATCAGGCCCAAGTCCACAAACATCGGGTAAGGCCCAACTTTATTAGGTCGGGCCGGATACCCAGAAATATCGGGCCCATTGCCATCCCTAAATAGAAGTAGGTCGGAACATGATGTGCAACAGTAGAGGTTTACATGGGCCTGGCTTTGGTGCCTAAAATATATTGCCTCTGCCACCTAGTTAGGTACCTCTTTTGTTTAATACAAAAATAAAGCAAAGAAATTAACTTACTATTAATTTTAAGTAGAATAATTCTAAAAAACTGAGTTTATAAATCTTTGAAAAATGGAAGTAAACTAGCTGCCCTGTCTTCACAACCATAGATGTTACTTTCAAATCAGGGGGATCAACATATCTGTTGTTTTTACTTAGAGAATACTGAATTCAAATCAGGGGGATTAATATGGCTTCTGACAGATTGGAATCAGTCAACAGTATAAGAAAAGATTTACTTATGCATGTAAAGATCAGATTAAAAATACCGATGAAGAGATTAGATGAAGAATATAAAAAAATAACCCTCTACCATAAAATATTGAAACAGTCCATATTCACTTAACAAATTTCAGAAAGATACCTAAACAGAAAAGTCAACTTTTACATTTTATATTGTATCCTGTTTTTTGATGAATTAACCCTCTACGATAATATATTAAACTTTCCCCTCCTTTTCTTTGTGAATAAGAAGCAAATTTCAATAGCTCTGGCCATTTTTTTTTTTTTACCTATCTCTGTCTCATTCCCTTATCTATTTCATATTTTGAGATAGATGTAAGTTACACTCTAATTAATTCTAAGTACTTTTGATTTACTTGATATTTTAAAAATTTTAAAAATTAATTATTGAATGACTAAAATTGATAATTGATGAATTGCTGATAGATATTAGAATAATATATTTTACGGGCCAAAAATTGTAACAGACCTTGTCAGACTGAAAAACGAGACAAGTCTTGCATAGCCCAGTGTCATGACCCAATTCTGATTGAACCCATGTTAGAACCCATTCTATAAGTCAGTCCATTCCACGAATTAGGCTACTTAATAAGATGGGCCATTATATGACCAATGCCACACCATAAGTTGGGCCTAGTTACGTGCCCATATGGGTTTTAGCCCATCAGCCCTTGTCCACTCCAAAATAGGACTCTACATTCTATGCACTTACTAATTTATCCAAAATCTCGAATCTTACATGAATTAAAACTCCTAATACTGAAAAGATAAGTCATACAACTTCCTTATACAATCATACTCCAAAAAAGAACTTAGAGTCTCATCAACTTCCTAATTCATTCAAGAATAATACTACACATACATCATACATCATTTCCATACAACATTTCTTATACAATATTATGTGTCAAGATGTGATTGGGTAAAAGTTTAATTTTAACTTTAAATTAGCTAATCATATCTTGCCACATAATATTGTATGGGAAATATTGTATAAAAATGATGTATGTGTAGTATTACTCTTCATTCAAAATCTTGAATCTCACATGGTATTCCTAAACCGATAAGGGCAAGTAACACGAGTCCCTTTCTAACTTAAACTCTCATACCAAATAGGTCTTAGAGTCCTACTAGGACTCAAGCCTTCTTGGTTCACTATACAAACAGAGGCATGCTCTCTCATTATACATTCAATCACACTATCACCTATTTGCTCCTAAAGTTCTTACTCTTAAGAACCATTGTCATCCCTTGCCGTAATCCTAAACTCCAATAAGATTCTGGTAACCTTCCCTTCTTTAGCCTTCACTAACCTTTCAAGCTTTATTGACTTGAGTCTCGGAGTTTTTACGGTAGATACCACACGGTGTCCCCTGTGAGCTTCGTGCTTATCTTTGTATGTGCAGTAGCCTCAATCTCACAGGATTTGTTCCTTCTATAACCGTAGATTTTACCGTCTGCATATATAAAATCTTCTTTGTTATGAAATATGTTTAAGAGAAAATTGTATATTTTACAAATATAATCGTATTATATGTAATCGAACAAATTCTCTTATCAATCGATGAAATTTCCTTCTATTAAGCAGTGTAATTGTGTAAGGGTACTTTTAATTTGTTTTATTGACATTTGATAGGGACCATAGTGTTACTAAATAATTTTAGAGGATCTCCAAAGACAGAATCATATTTTTTCTCTCTTTACGAAAATCTTTAAGAAATCTTAAAGTGAAAGTGATTAAATTATGAGTTACACATGTGAGGCAGCCACGTGAATAATGAGCGTTATGAGTTTTTTTCCTGTGAGATTCTGGAACAAAGTTGTCAATTTTGTCTTGCAACACCTAATTATATAGTTCATGTTATGTCTCATATGGACAAATAGCATCAACTTCTAAGTCGTAAAATCAAAGACTACTGTGTTCAATGGTTGACCATGTGAACATGAGACGCTCGGATGTGGTGGAAGACTTACAGCAGACAGATAAGACTTTTAATCAGATCATCATCTTTTACAAATTCTGGTCAAATTCGACTACATTATTATTTTAATTAATGTTGATACACCAACCAGATTGGACCATTTCGTACGTAAGAGTTTTTGGTTGGGTTTAAACGTAGGCTAATTTTGAAGCTTTGCTTTTCATTAATTGTGGTTTCTAATTGGCTATTCAAACTGGTAATTGAATTTGTACGAGGATGTATACCTAAATTCCACTTTGTTGTTCAAAGCCTCCACGATTGAAAAGATAAACCCCAGTCGACTACCTAACACTTGGTGAAATGTCAGTGCCTTTGAGTTGTATTTGAATTGACAACTAAAGAATTTTTAATCACAAAGTTTCATTACTTTATAGTATTTGGACCTGCTCTTGATGAATGATACTGATAAGTGATTGAGAGAAGGTTAATTATACATAATTAACAAATTAAAATATATTCCAATTCTACTACATTTTTCTCCCTTGGACCCCTTGGTCTCAAGCATGTGTTTATATGTGCAAATTGCATATGCATGCATTTATGAATATATGTATATTTATTTTATTGGGGATCGATAAATATAACCTGAAACTATCGGTCGGGTAAAAGTTTCAGTGGCTATCTCTATTAGCACCCGAGAAAGGACTTGAACTCAAGACCCCTTGAGTAATAATCCCAATGGTTGGCCTAGCGGTCAAGGAGGTTTACTCTCTTGTTCCTAGATTCAAATCTTGGGGTCACCTACTACAATAACATTGTGACTTACTTGGTCATTTGAGTTTGTAGGGTGTTCAATATATCTCAGAGATTAATTGAGGTACGTGTAAACTAGCGTGAACATAAAATATAAAAAAATCCAAGAGTCCGTATCGAACCACTCAACCATCCAGAAATAGTTGATTGTAATTGTTGCAAATTGTTGATTAATAAGAAATAACATGGCCAGACCAAAAGAATCGAAGAGTAAAATTAAAAAGACAATCTAATCAATTAACCCTTTGGATTGTAACATTGGGATTTTGTCCCTGTACATAATAAACATTAACACCTAGTTTTAATATCATCATCAATCCATACCTAGCCATATGATCGATCAAAATCTCACTATTCTTTCAACAATTTCTCCAACCCATCTTTCCCTGTGTACTGTGACTCCCCACTTGTGCTACTCTCCGATTCTGATCTTGATGTCCCAATTGAAATCGTGCTAGAACTCCCACTCCCACTTACCTCTGAATTATTCTTCATTAAGCTAGACGACGTCAAGCTCATATTTGGTTTAAATATTTTTTGCAACGCTGAATTAGAAGAAGCTGCTACAACTTCAGCTGGAAAGTTAAGCAAAGCCTTAGCACCACGCATCTTAAAAGCAGCTTTATCATATGCCAAAGCCGCTTCTTCCGCTGTTTCAAACGTGCCTAGCCATACACGTTGACCGTGTCTCGCCGAGTCGCGAATCTCCGCCGCGAATTTCCCCCATGGACGGCGCCTGACGCCTCTGTAGTGTTTCTTGGAGATGGCCCGGCCGGCTTGGAGCATGTTGGAGGAGTTAACTTGGGACGTTCTTGCTTTCATTAGGCTACTTAATAAGATGGGCCATTATATGACCAATGCCACTCCATAAGTTGGGCCTAGTTACGTGCCCATATGGGTTCTAGCCCATCGACCCTTCTCCACTCCAAAATAGGACTCTGCATCCTACGCACTTACTAGAATCTCGAATCTTACATGAATTAAAACTCCTAATACTGAAAGGATAAGTCATACAACTTCCTTGTACAATCATACTCCAAAAAAGAACTCAAAGCCCCATCAACTTCCTAATTCATTCAAAATCTTGAATCTTATATGAATCGGTATTCCTAAACCAATAAAGGCAAGTAACACGAGTCTCTTTCTAACTTAAACTCTTATACCAAGTAGGACTTAGAGTCCTACTAGGACTCAAGCCTTCTTGTTTCATTATACAAACAGAGACATGCTCTCTCATTATTCATTTAATCACACTATCACCTACTTGCTCCTAAAGTTCTTGCTCTCAAGAACCATCTTCACCCCTTGCCGTAATCCTAAACTCCAACAAGATTCTGGTAACCTTCCCTTCTTTAGCCTTCACTAAATTACCTTTCAAGCCTTACTGACTTGAGCATCGGAGTTTTTACGAAAAATGCCACACCGGTGTCCCTGTGAGCTTCGTGCTTATCTCTGTGTGTGCAATGACCTCAATCTTATAGGATTCGTCTCTTCCGTAACTGTAGATTTTACCGTCTGCATATATAAAATCTTCTTTGTTATGAAATATGTTTAAGAGAAAATTGTATATTTTACAAATATAATCATATTATGTATAATCTAACAAATTCTCTTATCAATCGATGAAATTTCCTTCTAATGAAGCAGTGTAATTGTGTAAGGGTACTTTTAATTTGTTTTATTGACATTTGATAGGGACGATAGTGTTACTAAATAATTTTAGAGGATCTCCAAAGACAGAATCATAATTTCTCTCTCTTTACGAAAATCTTTAAGAAATCTTAAAGTGAAAGTGATTATGAGTTACACTTACACATGTCAGGCAGCCACGTGAATAACGAGCGTTATGAGTTTTTTTCCAGTGAGATTCTAGAACAAAGTTGTCAATTTTGTCTTGTAACACCTAATTATATAGTTCATGTTATGTCTCATATGGACAAATAGCATCAACTTCTAAGTCGTAAAATCAAAGACTACTGTGTTCAATGGTTGACCATGTGAACATGAGACACTCGGATTTGGTGGAAGACTTACAGCAGACAGATAAGATTTTTAATCAGATCATCATCTTTTACAAATTCTGGTCAAATTCGACTACATTATTATTTTAATTAATGTTGATACACCAACCAGATTGGACCATTTCGTACGTAAGAGTTTTTGGTTGGGTTTAAACGTAGGCTAATTTTGAAGCTTTGCTTTTCATTAATTGTGGTTTCTAATTGGCTATTCAAACTGGTAATTGAATTTGTACGAGGATGTATACCTAAATTCCACTTTGTTGTTCAAAGCCTCCACGATTGAAAAGATAAACCCCAGTCGACTACCTAACACTTGGTGAAATGTCAGTGCCTTTGAGTTGTATTTGAATTGACAACTAAAGAATTTTTAATCACAAAGTTTCATTACTTTATAGTATTTGGACCTGCTCTTGATGAATGATACTGATAAGTGATTGAGAGAAGGTTAATTATACATAATTAACAAATTAAAATATATTCCAATTCTACTACATTTTTCTCCCTTGGTCACAAGCATGTGTTTATATGTGCAAATTGCATATGCATGCATTTATGAATATATGTATATTTATTTTATTGGGGACGGATAAATATAACCTGAAACTACCGGTCGGATAAAAACTCCAGTGACTATCCCTATTAGCACCCAAGGAATGACTTGAACTCAGGACCCCTTGAGTAATAACCCTAACGATTGGCCTAGAGGTCAATGGTGTTTGCTCTCTTGTTCCTAGATTCAAACCTTGGGGCCACCTATTATAATAACATTGTGACTTACCTGGTCCTTTGAGATTGTAGGGTGTTTAATAGATTTTAGAGATTAGTTGAGGCACGTATAAGTTGGCGTGAACATAAAATAAAAAAACATCAAAGAGTCCGTATCGAACCACTCAACCATCCAGAAATAGTTGATATTACTTGTTGCTCTTTTGTTCCTAGATTCAAACCTTGAGGCCACCTATTACAATAACTTGTTGCAATTTGTTGATTAATAAGAAATAACATGGCCAGACCAAAAGAATGGAAGAGTAAAATTAAAAAGACAATCTAATCAGTTAACCCTTTGGATTGTGACATTGGGATTTTGTCCCTGTACATAATAAACATTAACACCTAGTTTTTAATCATCGTCAATCCATACCTAGCCATATGATCGATCAAAATCTCAATATTCTTTCAACAATTTCCCCAACCCATCTTTCCCTGTGTACTGTGACTCCCCACTTGTGCTACTCTCCGATTCTGATATTGATGTCCCAATTGAAATCGTGCTAGAACTCCCACTCCCACTTACCTCTGAATTATTGTTCATTAAGCTAGACGACGTCAAGCTCATATTTGGTTTAAATATTTTTTGCAACGTTGAATTAGAAGAAGCTGCCACAACTTCAGCTGGAAAGTTAAGCAAAGCCTTAGCACCACGCATCTTAAAAGCAGCTTTATCATATGCCAAAGCCGCTTCTTCCGCTGTTTCAAACGTGCCTAGCCATACACGTTGACCGTGTCTCGCCGAGTCGCGAATCTCCGCCGCGAATTTCCCCCATGGACGGCGCCTGACGCCTCTGTAGTGTTTCTTGGCGATGGCCCGGCCGGCTTGGAGCATGTTGGAGGAGTTAGCTTGGGACGTTCTTGGAGGCATGAATGTGACGTTTTGTGGCACGACTTCATTTATGACTTGATAAATGACCATGTCTTGTGAATCGTTCTCGTTTAATGGTAGCTCAATTTGGGAGGTAGTTGGAAACATAGCTCAAAGCTTCTGAGCTTTCTGATCTTCTGGGCTGGCTTATGGATAGTGTTGAAAATGGAAGGCTCTGTTTTTGGTGGTTTTGAAGATGCCTGAAGTTTGTGAGAAGTGGGTATAGGATAGTATTTAAGTTTGGAAATAATTTAAATAGGCACATCAAGGGGGTGGGGTCCTTGGATTTTATAGTTAGGCAGAACGAAGGTGAGAGGAATTGAGAACATGAATTTGCATGTTTTTCCATTGACTTCTTGTTTGGTGGGTGGGTGGATGAAAGGCATTTTCTAATTTTGGCACTTGCTTCCTCCTCATATTACAAGAATACATTCTTGTAACTCTCCTTTTTATTCTATATTGTTATTAACTTTCAAATACTCAATTTTGACCAACCCATTTATATAATTTTATATTTTAACTCAGTACTTTAAGCCTACACATAAAATACAGTATACAAATATATATTATTTTTAGCTTCTAATTAACTTGTTTTGCTTAATTACCTTTTTATGTTTGATCAGTTCGATAGAGACTTTTGAGTGTATTACTCAATATTTCTTGTGTTCGAGTTTTTCTTTGAGTGCTGATATGGGTAATCATTGAAGCTTTTATCTGACCTATATTTTTAGAGTTTTTTTGGATTATTTGATATACGCGTAAATTTTTTTGCTTAAACTTTTGGTATTTGAAATGTTTATAAATTATAAAATATTAAGGGATTTCTTGTGCCCCATGCTACTCATGTCAAAGTGTAAGTGAGTAAAACTTTTGGTTATTGGACTCTCACCATCTAGGATGCAACACTCTAACGCTTTGCCTAGGAGCATGATGCTTCTTGTTATGCCTGGGAAATCAAGGGCTGACGTGGGAAATCACGTGATGGGGTGTGACCTGCTCCTGTCAGAACGGTAAGCACGCGCCAGACCTGCCAAACACTGTGGAGATCCCACGTGTCCATTCCCTGCTCCAAATCGCATGAAATCAGTTTGGAAGGTGGGCAATGTGACATAAAGCCGGATTTCATCCTGACATTCACACCAACCCACAGATTTAATGATGATTACTTGCACTCATCTCACTATAAAAAGGAGAAGAACCCTTCATTGAGGGGATTCAGCCATTTTACACTCTGAATTAACTATCCCTCTCTCTCTTGTATCTTTGCATTTACTTTTTATTAATCATTTGTAAGTCAGTCCGCTGTTGCGACCTGACCCACAATATTAATACAATTATCAGTGGACGTAGGACTTGCTACCTTAGCATCCGAACCACTTTAAAAAGCTCTCACTACTACATTTATTACGCACTTTATCCATACTCACATGTGTCTCTTGGCCAACCAACGTTACGCATGTGGCGATTAGCTAGTGTCAAAATCACGCATCAACAGTTTGGTGCTAGAAGGAGGGCCAGATTTAGTGTTCATCCTTCATCAGAAGAATCTCTAACCTACTGGTCCTACAGCAACAAATGGCCCGCCAATCTAAGCCTGAGCAAGCCAACCAACGCGCTGAGGGAGTTCCCCTAACCCAAGGGGATACCTCTTCCAAGATACTTCCAGTTCCACAAAATGCTGCGGTGGATATCCCAGCAACTTTGCAGCTTGATCCCGCCATCAGAAGCTACCTGGAGAGGTTCAACAGTACTCTCCAAACGGTCAACCAAAGGTTGGACCGTCTGGACCAAGGCGTGCCATCTAGAATAGCTGGGGCGGTGCAACTGCCAAAAACACCTACATGTCGCGCGAAAGCGCGGCAAAGGAAAATAGCCCGTGTCGCGAGCACTGCAGCGCGTAGATGTAAGGGTAAACAAGTAGCAAAAAGCAAGCCTACGGGCTCCAAAGGGCCAGCGAACACAAACCGTGCCCCAAGCAGGGTGCCGACAAAGCTGAGACTCAACGAAAAAGTAAATCCCGAGCTGTCCCATGCCACGTCGCAGGTGAACCCAACCAAAAGTGCTGGGCGGGGCGATTCTCATCACCACCAGCAGAACGATCCTGATTGCTATCATGTGGGTGGTCCCCACACCTCGAGGGGCGGTTCGTACCATCGCGAGGGTCGTGAAAATACCCCGTACCATACATCGCCTTCACGCGACTCTAGCCAGTGTGTGTTGAGAGAGGCCAGAAATGTCGGCCTAGGCGAAGAGGAGTCCGACCTCTGGACTTTCCTGAACCGTAATCACGAGGGCCGGACTCGCATGGGTGAAAGCAATCCCCAACTGGCTCTGTTACCACAAATTGAGGAGCTGCAACGAGCTCTGGACAAACTGAGAGAGCAGCAAAATAGCAGCCCCAGGTCGCATCCGTATCCCCCTTCTCTCCCGAAGTATTAGCTGCTCCACTCCCACCGGGGTTCAGGATGCCCGACATGCGACCGTTTGATGGGAACCATGACCCGCAGGATCATTTGTATGAGTTCAACGACTTGATGGAGCTTCACCAGGTTTCGGATCTTGCAAAATACCGTTGTTTGGCCGTGACTTTAACTTCTCATGCCAAACGGTGGTTAAAGTCGTTCCCAGCAGGATCGATCAGTTCGTGGCCTCAGATGAGCACGACGTTCCTACGGCATTTCTAAGTAAGTAGAAAGTTTTCGATGCCTTTGAGCTATCTCAGCAACATAAGGCAAGAGAGGGATGAATCCCTACAATCCTACATTGACCATTTCCATAGGGAACTCAACAAGGTGGCTCATGCTCCCGAAGAGTCCGTCCGAACACTCATAATAGCTGGAGTTTGCCCGCAAACCTACCTATGGAAAGAATTACAGGCTGAGGACGATGTTTCCCTTACCAGATTCTATAACCTTGCGGAGAAATACCTCCGGATAGAAAATTCGCCGGCGACATTCCGCCGTTGCGACTCCGACGCTTCTGGCAATATGTCTGGTAGGGGGGAAAGCCGAAGGGCTGATCGCGGAGGGGCCGCCAACGATCAGCAAAAAAGGAAGAAACCTCGCTACGAGCGTAGAAAGTCCTATGCACCCGTTCCTCATCGCGATCGCGACAGGCACCAATATACTCCACTGAACGCCTTTGTATCTACCATTCTTGATAAATCCGAAGAAGCCAGTCTGCTCGGAGAGCCCGAGCCCATGAAAACCCCCGCTACAACTAGAAATAATAAAAAGTATTGTCGCTATCATGGGACAATGGGCACCATACTGATGAGTGTCGCGCTCTGAAACAAGCAATCGAAGAGCTTATCAAGAAGGGGCATTTCAAGGAATACATCGATGACTCTACTCCCTCGAAAGAAAAAGATCGGGGGGAGCCGAGTAAGAAGCGTCGCGATCAGAAAGGGGTATTCAGTCTCAACTTGATTTTTGGGGGACCGCACTTTGCTGGAAATTCGTGAGGTGCCCTCGAAAGGTATGCTCACGAAGCACATCACGACCCCATTAGAGTGATGAGTGCGGAGCAGTGACCACAAAAGGTTCGCAGGGAGGTGGAAATCTCCTTCTCCGAACAGGATGTGGCCAGGTTGCATCATCCCCACGACGATGCCCTTGTAATCACTCCCCTGATAAGGCGCTATAACACCCAGAGAATGTTAGTGGATAACAGAAGTGCTATGAACATCCTGTTCGCATCCACTTTTGAAAGGATGAATCTGGACGAGGCCGACCTAAAGCCTGCCTCGTTCTCGCTGTATGGATTCATGGGAGACCATCTACTCCCTAAGGGAACAATCTCACTCCCAGTCACGCTGGGCGATTTTGACAAAGTGACCAAGGTAATTGAGTTCTTAGTGGTAGACTGCCAATCAACCTTCAATGGGATCCTTGGGCGACCTCTGCTAAGACAGTTCAAGGCGGTCACCTCAATTTACCATTTGAAGATGAAGTTCCCCACCCCGACGGGGATCAGGGAAGTCAGCAGGTCTCAGTGCGCATCGCACGAATGCTATGTAAAAGCGGTCCAGATGGCATACAAAGGAAAGGGCACCTTGCGCGGCATTCACAGGCAGGCCATGGCGATCAGTAGGATCGATCCACGACCTAGTCCGGCCGAGGACAACCTAGACCCTCGCATTCAAGACTGCCCTTCCAGTGGGCCAGTTGAGGACCTGACTGAAGTGCTGGTCGACCAGAAAGAGCCGAGCAAGGTGTTAAGAGTCGGTAAAAATCTCAATCCCCAGCTCGCTACCGAACTGACAGGCTTCCTCAGACAAATCATCGATGTGTTCGCATGGTCGCGCACAGATATGGTCGGGATCAACCTGGATGTCATTTGCCATGCATTAAATATCGATAGTGAAGCCAAACCAGTTCTCTAGAAATAAAGAGCGATGGATCCAGAGCGGTACTTAGCCCTAAAGCTAGAGGTAGACAACCTCCTCAATAACGGATCCATCCGAGAGGCACTATACCCGACCTGGGTTGCCAACCCGGTTCTGGTAAAGAAGCCCAATGGCAAGTGGCGAACCTGCGTCGACTTCAGCAACCTCAACAAAGCTTGCCCTAAAGACAGCTTCCCCCTGCCAATGATTGACCAACTTGTGGATGCCACCTCGGGGCACGAGCTGCTAAGTTTCATGGACGCATACTCTGGGTATAATCAGATTCTGATGTATGGGCCAGACGAAGAGCACACATCTTTCATTAAAGATCGAGGACTGTATTGCTATAAGGTCATGCCCTTCGGCCTCAAGAACGCTAGTGTGACCTACCAACGGCTGGTTAACCGGATGTTCTCCGACCAGATTGGCAAGTCAATAGAGGTCTACGTAGATGACATGCTGGTCAAATCCCATGTCGCTTCAGATCACGTAGAACATCTCACAGAGATCTTTGATATCCTCTGGCTGTACAGAATGAAACTGAACCCGCTCAAGTATTCGTTTGGGGTATCCTCGGGTAAGTTCTTAGGGTACATGGTTAACCAGTAGGGAATAGAAGTCAACCCTGAAAAAATTCAAGCTCTCCTCGATATGGAAAGCCTGACCAGCAAAAAATAGGTCATGAGTCTTAACGGACGAATAGCGGCACTTAGTCGTTTCATATCGAGGTTAACAGATCGCTGCTTGCCGTTTTTCAATGTTCTAAAGGCCAATAAGAAATTCGAATGGACTCCGGAATGCGAACAGGCATTCCAAAGTATAAAAGAACGTATCGGGAAGCCACCTCTCCTCTTCAAGCCTCTTCCGCAAGAGATCTTGCCTCTGTACCTGTCCGTCTCTCAGTTCGCGGTCAGTGCAGCCCTAGTTCGAGACGAGGAAAAAGTTCAATGGCATGTTTACTACTCGAGCAAGCACCTGTCGGATGTTGAGATGCGGTATCCAGAAATGGAACGATTAGCCTATGCCCTGCTGATCACATCCAGAAAGCTGCGACCTTACTTCCACGCTCATACGATCCACGTAATGACTAATTACCCCCTCAAGCAGGTCCTCCAGAAGCCAGAAGCCTCGGGTAAACTGCTCAAATGGGCCATGGAATTAAGCCAGTTCGACCTAAAGTACAAGCCCAGGTCGACCATCAAAGGGCAAGCTGTTGCTGACTTCATTTTAGAATTCTCTTATCTCCCGAATGAGTCAGAGCAACAGCCCAGCGAAGCCATCCAAGAGACCATTCAGAACCTATCGACCTGGAGCCTCTATGTTGACGGGTCATCGACCAGGAAAAAGGCAGGAGCAGGTCTCCTCCTCTTGAGTCCCGAAGGGGCTCGCATTCACGGCATCATGCGGTTCGGATTCAAGGTGACCAACAATGAAGCTGAGTGTGAAGCTCTGCTAGCTGGATTACAGTTGGCCGGAGAAATGGGCATAACCGCGATCAGCGTCCACAGCGACTCTATGCTAGTTGTCAACCAAATTCTAGGAGAATACCAAGCCAAGGAAGAAAACATGATCCATTATTCGAAAGAAGCTAAGGCCGCGCTCAAGCCGTTCAAGCACTTCACGATCACCCAGATCCCCAGAGATAGCAACTCTGTAGCAGATGCCTTGGAAAAGATAGCCTCATCGTTGGACTCAAAGGCACCTGATAGCATTCCTGTTCGGTTTATCGAGGCCCCGAGCATCAGCCCGACCGAACAGGCCATGAATGTAACTTAATCAGATTCCTGGATGACGCCCATTTACTAGTATCTCAAGGATGTGATCTTGCCCGACGGCGAGGTCGAGGTACGGGTTCTGCGAACAAGATCTGCTCATTACTCTCTCGTCGGAGACCAGCTGGACAGGCAAGGATTCAGTGCCCCTCTCCTCCGATGTGTGACTAGTGAAGAGGCAGATTATATCATGAGGGAAATTCATGAAGGGATCTGCAGTAATCACACCGCCGCACGATCTCTCGCGAACAAGGTTGTTCGTCAAGGGTATTATTGGCCCCGGATCCAAGAAGATACCCGCAATTTTGTCAAAAGATGTGACAAGTGTCAGCGGTTCGCGAACATTCCGCGAGCCCCCTCTCACGAGCTGATAACGATGACTAGCCCCTGGCCATTTTCAATGTGGGGGATCGACACCATTCGAAAAAGGGGGAGTCAAGTATGCCATGGTCACGGTAGACTATTTCACAAAATGGGTGGAAGCTGAACTGTTGGCCGCGATCACGACCAGAAAGCTGAAAGACTTCATTTTCAAGAATATAGTGTGCCGCTACGGAATTCCTTACACCCTTATCTCGGATAATGGAAAGCAATTCGACAACGAGGAGTTCAAGCAATTCTACGACGAGCTGGGCATCCATAAAAAATTTGCCTCAGTCGCAAGACTGCAAGCAAATAGCCAACTTGAAGCTGTCAACAAGACCATCAAGCACACTCTAAAGGCCAAACTTGGGGCAGCCAAGGGAAATTGGGCCGACGATCTCCCCAAAGTCCTATGGGCATATAGGACAACTTCGAGAACTTCCACCTCAGAAACGCCATTTTCGCTAGCCTATGGTTGCGAAGCAATGATTCCTGTGGAGGTAGGAACTGGTTCTCTTCGGAGGGACTTGTACGATGAGGTTGAAAATGAAGCACTTATGAGAGCGAGTTTGGATCTTGTTGAAGAACACCGCAGCAAAGCTTCGCTAAGGATTGCAGTCTACCAGGAACGCGCAAAGAGGTTCTTCGATTCAAAGGTCAAGCGAAGAGACTTTCAGGTCGGTGACCTTATGCTAAAAGAAGTTCTCCTCAGAACCAGTGAGCCGAATGCGAGGGTACTTGGACCGAATTGGGAAGGTCCGTACCGGGTCGACAAGGTGATCAGACAAGGGACTTACCATCTCAAAAGGCTGAATGGTTCCAAAGTACCCCGAGCTTGGAATGCCGAGCACTTCCGGCCATACTATCAGTAATCCCGAACTCAGCTGTCATCGTAAATTAGCTTTTGATTTTGTTAAAGTTTCCTTTTTCCTTGTAAAATATTATTTTGTTCGCTTGTCACAGTTCGCATGTAATATTGCCTATGTAAATAAACTGAATTGTAAACTGCACTCATGTATGATTAAGTGAACAGCAATTGAAAACAAAATGTATTTCATTTATGTACAAAAAAAACTGTTGACCCTATTGACTCCTATTGGGTCGGCCTCATCGCACTAGGCCTGGTCGGTCGGGGGTTTCTTCGAGGCAGAACCCGAACCCTCTGCTTGGTCGGATCCTCGGGCGGCCGCTGCTCTATCATCTTCCATCACCAAAGTCTGTAAGGCTTCTTGCCACTCCTCCAGGAGGTCGGACATATCCAGATTTGGGTTCTTTGGTCGCAGGGCATAGATGGACCGGATCGCCCAGTCGACGGCCTTATCCTCGACCTCCTCCGATTGGTTTCGCATTTCTTCGGTCAAGGAAGCAACCTTTCCTTGACTCTCCTGGAGCTCGGCCTTAAGAGCTACCTTCTCTTTTCGGAGGCCTCCGTTTCTTGTTCTGCTCTCTGAGCCCGCATTAAGGTCGTTTGGAGCTCCTGGTCCTTCTTTCCGACCTCCTTGGAGAGTCTAGTGGTTGTCCTCTGAAGCTCCTTAACTTCCTTCACGCGTTGCTCAAGCTCCGTCTTTTGGAAGTCCACTGTACACATAGTGACCGTCTTTTGGTTCAAGTATCTGTTCGCTGCCTCAGCGGACAATGCTCTTTCCACTTCGACGTCCTCCAGGCTCTGTTTGAGCTTCGCAATCTCCTCTTTCAGATCATTTTCCCCCTTCGCGGCTCCCAGCCGAGCCTTCTCCGGGGACATTCTCATGGCGAGCAGAGCCTGCGAACAAGAAATGAGTTAGAATGAAAATGGTGGACAAACTCTTCAAGAACAGTTCGTTCACCTTGCTTAGATGCTGAACCGACGTGGTCATCAGGTCAACATCGCTCGAATCGATGAACTCATCGTATGATTCCGATAGTCCACACTCAAGTAGAGAGTAGACTACCGGCTGTAGGTATTCGGGTATGTTCCCCAGCGCGTCCAGCACTGGTGTGTCCTTCGCCTTATCGGCAGCAACCGTCTCATCTGCGGGTTCCTTGCTCGACCTCCTTCTGGCGTCCAGTCGCGACCTTAGGGGTTGATCAGCCTCAGATTCGGTCTCTAACTCGTCGACTTGAATCTGCTTCCTCTTCTTCGACCGTTGAGCCATTGTCTTCCGCCTCGAGCGAGCAGGCGATGGATGAGCGACCTGTTCTATCCTGGTCATTTCTTCCTCAGGATGGGGCTCGGAAGGCGCGACAGTTCATACCGGTTGTGCCGCTATGGGGCGAGCAGCTTTGGTCGCCTTGGCCCTCCTCGATCGAGGGAAGTTAAATGGTGCTCGCCGGGGCTGCTCGGACTCTTTCTGAGGCATGGTCGCTGCATGCAAGTACGTTAGTAACTAAACAAAAATTATTCTATGACCAGAAAGGAATCAGTCGGCCCAACTTACACTCTGGGGACTCTAAAGACGCGTTATTGCTGAAAAAACCGTACTTCCGCAAGTTCGCTGTGGTCACAAGCTTCTTCGCGTCTCGGCTTTCTTCGGGGAGAACCCCAAAAGACACGATCCTGTCCGGGTCGGTGAGCAGGTTCAGGCTGGTCGACTTGTTAACTACAAAAGAATGCAGGTCGTTTGAAAAAGAAACGCGAAGTTAATGAATCTAGCGAAGAGGAACCTACTTGGATCCTGAAAGCGGCAATAGCCGTCGCAACAGAAAAAGAAAAACTTCGTCTCATAGGCCCCCGCGTTGCTGGGATAGCTATGTATCCCTGCGGCAATGGTAGGTCGCCGGGACAAGTAATATGAGTCCTTGTCTTTACTCCTTTTGAGGAAATACGCACAGCCGAGCTCCACCGCTGTTAGCTCGCCCAAGCCGCTCTCGCGGAACGCGATGTACATCGTAACAGCGATGACGTACGCGTTTGGCGTTAACTGTATTGGTGCAATCCCGAAGTGATCCAAGACTGACCTAATAAAAGGGTGGAAAGGAATCATCCCTCCACCCTTGAAGATCTCTTTGGAGATCGCAGCTAAGCCATCAAAGGATGCCGCGACGACCAGGTGGCGTGGAGGAACACCTCCGCGCGGACGTCGAACTGTCTCTTTACCCTCTTGAACTCCTCTCGGGTGAGAACCGAGAAGACCTCAAGGGATGCGTCCGTGGGAACATCCAGCGAAGACGAGTCGACTCCTTCCTTGGATCTGGACGCTGAGGGTTCCATTCTGCAGTCTGCAACAGCGACAGACAGAAGGTCATTTTAGCCATCATACGTTGCCCTGTACAGCGGCATGGAACAAATTCCCTAAACCCTAACAGTGACTCGAGCCGCCATTTACGGCTCGAACCCTACTCCAGCGTCATGTCTCTGATGAAACATCAGAAGACCCAACGCCATTGCACCACCAAACCATGAAAGCAAAAAAAAAAAAAAAAAAAAGAAAAAAACCTTACCTTTTGGGGCACGTGACCGTGGACGGTTCTTGCTTCGGGTATCAAAGAGATGCCAATCGGAAAAGAAAAGCTTCCGGTTTGCAAAGATTTTTCGCTCGAGGCAAAAGAGATTCTAGTGGCATCGTCTGAGAAATTTGGGCTTTTATATGGGCTATGAACCGGCGTTTACCACCCCTCGGAATCAAAACGACTCCTTTCTCTCTCTGCGCATTAATTGCGCCCCACATCGCATTTAATGCTGTGATAAGAGTTGTCGTTTCGAGCGTGTCATGCAATTAATGCTCTGTCAAAGCAATGGCACGTCAGCACACAACGCATTTAATGCGCCTGGCAGACGCTTAACATGAGCAGAGTGCCTGTCAACGCAGAAACTGCTTCATTAAACCTCCATCCCTAAGGTACGGTAAGGAACACCTGGTGAAGTCAGGTCGCTTGGGCGAGGGCCGTCAGGTCGCTTGAGCGATAGCTGTCAGGTCGTTGGACGTGGTTCGTGTAAGGTCGTGTTCGCAAAAGGTTCTATCCCGAGCTTCTTTCATTTAGGTCGGAATTGTCAGAACTTCCAGAAAACCTCCAATCGCGGCATGGCTTAGTTTCCAAGGTTCGATCCTCAAACCTTAAAAACTAGGGGACTTCTGTTATGCTTGGGAAATCAAGGGCTGACGTGGGAAATCACGTGATGGAGTGTGACCTGCTCCTGTCAGAACGGTAAGCGCGTGCCAGACCTGCCAGACACTGTGGAGATCCCACGTGTCCATTCCCTGCTCCAAATCGCGTGAAATCAGTTTGGAAGGTGGGTAATGTGACATAAAGCCGAATTTCGTCCTGACATTCACACCAACCCACAGATTTAATGATGATTACTTGCACTCATCTCACTATAAAAAGGAGAAGACCCCTTCATTGAGGGGATTCGGCCATTTTACACTCTGAATTAGCTATCTCTCTCTCTCTTGTATCTTTGCATTTACTTTTTACTAATCATTTGTAAGTCAGTCCGCTGTTACGACCTGACCCACAATGTTAATATAATTATCAGTGGACGTAGGACTTGCTACTTTAGCATCCGAACCACTTTAAAAAGCTCTCACTACTACATTTATTACGCACTTTATCCATACTCACGTATGTCTCTTGGTCAACCAACGTTACGCACGTGGCGATTAGTTAGTGTCAAAATCACGCATCAATACTTCTATTGCTCTCTCACAGTTTCGTTTTTTTTTCGATTTACACTGTTTTCATTTTGCTCCTTATTACTGTATAAATCCTTTTTGTTTTCTTATAATCTGACTACTAAAATGCTTTAATTAAGTTTGAACCCTATAAGTTCTAACGGATCCAAATCCAATACCCAATAAAAATACATCAATAGATAATTTTCCTTAAACAAGATAAAAAGACGTGAATTGGTACAATTATTTATAGTGGTAGTATCATATTTAGGATTCCAACCGATATTGCGTTGGGTGTTTTTTCTTTTTCTTTTTCGACTCCCCTCAATTCCGGTATGTAATGTAATAATTATTGTTTGTGCTTAACATATTAGAAGGGCCAACCTTCCAACACGATTGTCGTAGAGGAATCAACGTGTTACCGTGTCAATAGATGAAAAGGGCCAAGGTCAAGTCAACAGTTCTCTAAAATTTCTCATGTACAAATTCATTGTATAAAGAAAAGTAAGCCAATAATTTTCTAACCATTACTTCAATGGAAAATTACAAGAAGTTGACGTGCCTTTGACTCCCAAAATCGTTTTATGCTTAAATTGATAAAACATTTTTACAACAAGCAGTGATTCCGTTATGATGTGAAGAGGAAATAAAAAAGTACATACATGAACTGATCTTCATTTCTCTTAGGTTTATTTTATTTTTAATGATCGAAGATGTTTGGGCCAATCAACTGGTTTCTGAGACTCTGAAATTATCAGTTGGATTTGAGGAGAAACTTGAACTCAGAATTTATTGAATAATGCACCTAAGAATCTCTATCAAATCACTCGATCACTCAGAAATAGTTTATTTTTCTTAGTTTCCACAATTGAATTTTGCAATAATTTCTTTGAAGTCTAAACTTCTATTAGCGATTGGTTGATTAGGATTTTTTTTTTTTTTTTTTTTGGTATGAAATTTATTTGTATTAGCAATTATAAGAAGAATAATAAAAAAAAAATGTCACGGGGGTAGTAAAGCAATTTTCGGAAGATTGAAGGGCAAACGTAGAGGCAACACTTTTTTCTTCTAGTAAGTTTCATGTGTGGGTGACGTCACCATGGACGTTTCTGGTTGAGTGACGTAAGAGTTTGTAATCTAATAGAATTCTGTACGCATTTGAGCTAATATGAGCGTCGTCAGATTTCTTTGAACAGGGGGACCACACCAATCTACATCTTTGACTATTCTAATTTGTGATTACTTTTGAAAAAGAAGAAAGAAAAGGAACCGCACGATCCACCAGATGAATAAGGGTCCCACTTGAAGACTTAATTACACGTCGTTTGAATTCCAATGATAGATAAAATTTATCCGCTTAATATGACATTCACAAACATTTTTTACCAACTTTCTTTCGTAAATGTCACATATTGGTTTGTAATTAATCAGTTTATATGGATTTCATTTATCTAATAATAGATCATATCTAATTAAATTAATTATAAATTATCGCATAGGATTAGTGAGAGGTATTAATAAGAGATGTTTGTGAGGTTAATATTATTGAATTTATATACAACGAAATATTGACCGGCGTAGAAATATTTTTTCGGCTGTTTCAAAGGCCTCCCCTAAGCTTTTAGAAAATGAATGAAACCCTATAAATATAAAAAATTTCCCTCTCCCCCTCGTTGCTATTAATAAACGATTAAGCCTATTTGATAAGGGACAAGAAAATATGTGGATGATATTAATTAACAAGTGATTTTATTTGTAAAAGGAATGTACTCGAGGCTTTGAAAGGACAACACAAAGACTTTAAAAAGACAATACACACACTGCATATTTATTCATGGAACAAACAATCTTTCAATAAGCTAATACACAATGTATAATTGTATAAAAATAGGCACTATACAGTATACAATGTCCAAAATCAAGATGCAAGGAGTAAGTTATTGATCACTTGCTCNTTTCTTTTAATTTTAGTGTTTTTAAATTAGTGTTAATTTTTATTTTGAGTTATTGTAGTTTAATATTTGCATTGAATAAAGTTCTATTTTTAATTTTTCATCATTTTTTAAATTATATCATTATTATAAATAATAATCAAATTAAATTAAATACAAATACTCAAATTTAGTGTGATTTTTGGTGTAAAATTTAATACCCAAATTAACTTAACAAAATTAAAAAAAAACCAAAAAACCAAAATTAAAAAAAAAAAATATATGTTTTTTATTTGTGTTACAGCGCTGCGCCATTTTGGCGCAGTGCTACAGTGTTACGCCAAATTTGGCGCAATACTATAGCACTGTGTCAAAATAACGCAGTGTTTGACGTGGGTTGGAGTACCAACCCACGCCAATTTGGTGTTTTTTGCACCATTTTGGCGTGGGTTGGAGATGCCCTAAGGGACAAGAAAATATGTGGATGATATTAATTAACAAGTGATTTTATTTGTAAAAGGAATTTACTCGAGGCCTTGAAAGGACAACACAAAGACTTTAAAAAGACAATACACACACTGCATATTTATTCATGGAACAAACAATCTTTCAATAAGCTAATACACAATGTATAATTGTATAAAAATAGGCACTATACAGTATACAATGTCCAAAATCAAGATGCAAGGAGTAAGTTATTGATCACTTGCTCCACTACCTAATATCTCCTAAAAGTAAGCTACTTATGTAGATCAAATACATGTCTACCACAACATCTCGTTCTTGAAACCAATTAACTAGAATCCTAAAGACTATGACTACACAGATTGATAAACTACAAATCACTAATTTATTCAATAGTCTCTCCCTTAAACTAATGTTCCAGACATAACATTCAGTTTAATAAGAGTCAAACTTCAAAGCACAATTCCTCAAATCGAATCATCTGAAGTACAAACACCAAGAAGCTTCCCGAACCTCTGAAATGCCAGATATTTAAGGGGCCTAGTTAGAATATTAGCAATTTGGTAGTTACTTTTGTAGTAAATTAAATTAATAACCGTTAAGGAAATGTGTAAGTGACAGGCTATTCGTAAGTGTATAAAATCAATATGACTAAATTTAGGGTACAGATTTTACACTAATTTAATCCTATGTATTGACAATTATTACTAACCTAATTAAGCTTATTCTAAAAGCCAAATTCATTGATATTCCACTAACTTTTTCTCGAACAATTAGCGAATTAACCCTTAAGCAACAACTCAAAATATCTCTAAGTTGAATTTAGAAGTTAAGAGATCATTAAGTTCTATAGAATTTACCAGAGCCTCATAGATCGCGGTAACCTATCTCTAGCGTTCACTCAATCTATGGTTTTATTACCTTAGACAAATCAGGTTTCATCTCTCGATCTCAACCCAACCCATGATATCATTCAACTCTTGGGTCCTTAAGAATTGAAAGCATTATGCACAATAATAAAACTTAGAATTAAATGCTCAATAAGAATTAACAACAAATTAAATCAACACATATTCATAAATTGGGGTACATCTTTAGCCCTAGAAAAGAGATTTAGTTCATAATTACAGTAATAAAAACAACCATTGTATTTAATAACATGAGTTCAAGAAATAAAAATAGAAACACTTCTCTAATTTGTGAACGAGAA